TATCATCAGAAAATAAGGCATGTGAAACTGAAAGTGAAAATAATACTAAAATGGAATTATCCGCCAAAAATTTATATTAAAGTCATTATTAATTGTTGCACAAACTACAGTATTGGAGGTGTTTTAGGTGACTCATGGTACTTGGTATTAGAAACACTACAACTAGTACATTATAGATTATTTTCAAAGTATTCTAATAAGAAAAAGAATCGCAGAATTAATATGCACCATACCAAATCTGAATCTGTCACTTCTTTAACTTCGCAAATAACTTCATGTAGTAGTTCTTCATCTCTCAATCAAACAACTACTCCATTAATTGTACAAATATCATGTCCGAACCCCTTTGAAGCTACAGATAATTACCCTCAACCATCGGACCATGTATCTCAAGCTGAGACACCTATAGTCTCTTATTCTGGATCTTTTAAAGATGAATTAAATAGTCTCAAGATACAAGTTATGACGTTGGTTGATAATTGCAAGTTTCTTAATGACATAGCTTTACAATATTTTATACGATCCTTGTGTAAGCTTAATGCCAAGCATGTGGTATTCAACTTAATGAAGAATTTCAAGTGGCTGGTCAAGAATTAATATTTGTCGATAATTATATACATAAACCAATTACTTTAGGAGCTTTACGTGTCATTGTAAGAATTTTAACTTTATATATACAAAATGAGTCTTTTAATATTTATAATACATAATATATTTATTAAATTTAAATATTTTAATTTAATTAAATTTTGTTTTTTTAAATTATAGAAGAATCATAAGAAGTTTTTTACAATTAAAATATTGCATTCTGCGACGATTTTAAACATGCATCGAATGATCGCGTGTGATCCAACTTTAATCTGGGATTTAGTTACATCTCACCTAATCATAACTACGAATCATATTTCAACTCCTCATCATATTCGTATACAAGCTTGTAAAGTTCTTGCAAACATTATCGTTTCAACTGTTAATTATGTTTCTTTATCACAAATAAAGAATAATGAACGTATTCAATCTCAACTTCTTATTTCTCTTTATCATATGATTGATAATTCTGAATGGATTTCTCTACGTTCGGGTGGTGGTGTTTATGTTGAAGTTCAAAAAATTAGACTAGAAACATTATATAAAGTATTAGAAACTTCTGGTAGAGCTGGATATTCTTTTACTTTTTGGTGGAATGTTATTTTAGACATTATTAAGAGTGTCTGCGTGTATGCTGGTTCTGGTGAAACCATGGAAAATGATGCTGTTAGTGATGATAGTCTTAGTATATTAGACGAATCAATATTTTATATATCGGATACAAAAACCTCAGGTTTAGTTCTCGTGGCATTTCCTTCATTACAACTTATTTATAATGACCTTTTGTCATTGCTATCACCTAAATATTTGAAAGAATTAATCAATACATTAGGCGCATTTGGTTTACAAAGGGATGATTTATATATAAGTTTGAAATCAATTGGACTTTTGTGGAATATCTCTGAATTTATACAAGTTAAACGTTCTGATCATAATTATGATATTGGAATGATCAAAAGTTTTGCACTTGATACAATTGATATTGACAAAACTATCTTAAAAGAGTCTACATCTATTATGGATGTACTTTGGATGTTATTATTATCACAACTTTTAAAAATTTGTTCGGATGCTCGTCCAGAAGTACGTAATTTAGCAATTCAAACAGTAATTCGTTCAGTAGCTGTTTATGGAGTAGAGTTAAAGATAAGAACTTTGAATGTATATATGCAAAAAATCCTATTTCCGCTTTTTGATTCAATAAAAATGCATCAGAGCAATATCAAGACTTGAATCAAGATTTGAACTTGGCATCACATAAAGAATCACATAAAGAATTTGATGGATTTCTTTTTCGTCAAGCAAGAAATGCAATTGATAAACAATGGGACGAAACAAAAATTTTAGCTTTAACTGGAATTTCTAGACTTT